CCTCGCCCTATCGTGCCCAAAAGTTATCGCTGTAACGTCTTCAATACGTTGCATGGCTTATCCCACCCAGGTATTCGAACTACCGTCAACCTCGTAACTAATCGGTTTTGTTGGCCTGGTATTCACAAGGAAGTAAAGGAATGGGCACACACGTGCTTGGCTTGCCAAAAGTGCAATATAATAAGACACAACAAAAGCCCACTTGGCACCTATCTTATACCCGATGCCCGTTTTGAACACGTTCATATAAATTTAGTTGGCTCCCTTCCAGAATCTCATTGATATACCTATATGTCAACCTGCATCGATCGCTTCACACGATGGCCTGAAGCAGTACCCCTCATGGATGTATCTGCCGAAACCGTCACACGCGTCTTCGTAGGAAGATGGGTCGCAAACTTTGGATGCCTACCCTCCATAACAACTGATCGTGGGCGGCAATTCGAAAGCAGTTTATTCTTCGCTTTGGTTAAGACCTTGGTTGCATGCGTTTTTGAACAACAGCCTGCCATCCACAAGCTAATAGCACTACAAACCACATCTTGACCAATTCTCCCACCACTCCTCTTTGAGCCTACCAGAGCTAAAGCAGTCGACTGGTGGGACTTACTACGTATAAGTTCACCGAAGATCTAGAACCTCTACCTTACAATGAAGAGGCGAGCAAAAAGAAATCAAATTGGTTTATACTAGCTCGTAAAAACGATATTGGACATTGAAGGATACCTCTTCGTGCGGTGGCAATTCAAAGATCTTGTTGCTTTCTCGTGCGTTAATCCCCCAGGTATGTTTTTCTCCATAGCCCCCTTTTAATAGGTCTCTAACCAATAGTATTATGCATTTAGTCCTATTCTTTTACAAGATATACCTTCTCCGGTTAGAATTATCCGTTGTAGTTGGTGTCTACTTAAGTGCTTCTGTTATCGCACATTTTCATTTATAGTATTCATTTTGAGCATCTTTATACTCTAGTCTCATATTTAAAATCTTCAATACTCTAAAACGGATCTTACATACAATTCGCCCATTCTCTCATATTTAATCACTTAAAATCTATGAAAAATGCTAATAGTCCAACCTAAGTGTCTCACTCCACTATCTGCTGCAGGCCCCAGTTAAAAACGCAAATCAAACAGAATAAGTAAGCCTGTAGGAAGTGAGAGCTCTACACCCAGTCATTTAACAACTACACAAAAGTCTGTCGCAGCCGATGCATTAAGTCTGGACATTATCCTCCCCTCACATGCTTGCTTAGTAAAAAACGGCATGAATAGTAAACATAGTGATACTGCACTATTTTGGCAAAAATAGGAAAAAATCACATAAAAAGGAGACACCTCAGGACAACTAGTTCTGCTAACCAGCTGTTTTCTTCAGGATCACTCCACATAATTTTATCACTAATTGTTCCACTACACATTTTACCCTGCTAAATAGACTGTAACTTAGATACTGTGATTACAGCAGCTAAGTTTCTGCAGTGCGCCCGAAAAAAATGCTAGCTTGGTATTACTGACAGCATTGGCTGAAAACATAGCCGAGCCCTTGTCGTTAATCTTCAATATGTCTCTGGACCAGTCTAAATGTCCAAGAGACTGGAAAGATGCCATCATTAGTCCGGTCTTCAAAACCAGATCTAGAAACTTAGTTCAGAACTATCGTCCTATTAGTTTGACCAGTATTGTTGTTAAACTACTAGAAAGAATAATTCGTGATGCTATCATTCAGTTCATTGAAGGGAACAAACTTTTCGCTGTGGAATAGCATGGCTTTAGAGCAGGTCATTCTTGCTTGACCAACCTTCTTTTGGCCAGAGAAAGTTGGGCAAGCTCAGCTGATGCTAATATACCGGTTAATGCCATATTCATCGACCTTAGCAAGGCGTTTGACAGGGTTTCTCATTCAGGTCTTCTAGTAAAGTTAGGTAGTATGGGAATCAATAAAGTGGTTGCCGACTGGATTCAAGACTTTCTAAAGGACAGAAGACAAAGAGTACGAGTTAACGGGGTTTTATCAACATGGGAATCGGTTAAGAGTGGCGTTCCTCAGGGTACAATTCTAGGCCCACTTCTTTTCCTGATTTATGTTAATGAGATTCCATCGGTAGTTAGGTCATCCTGCTTACTGTTTGCTGACGACATCAAGATATGGAGGGCTTTACACGATGACAGTGATCAACTTGCTTTGCAGGAAGATTTAAACTTGTTAAGTGATTGGTGTAAGCACTGGGCCTTGGAGATTAACTTAAGCAAGAGTGTAGTTATGCATGTATCTCATAGTCACGTGCACAATTACTCAATGAATGGCATTACTCTTCCAGTGGTCACTGAGTACAAGGACTTGGGAGTGGTTGTGCAGCATGACTTGAAAACAGCAACAAACTGTAGAGCTGCAGCCACTAAGGGTTTTCGAATATTATGGGCCATACGCATAGCTTTTGCGAATTTTGACGCTGAAATATTTCGTATATTATATCCGACTTATATCAGACCTCATTTGGAATATGGGATCCAGGCAGCGAGCCCGTGTTTCAAATACGAAATAGACTTATTAGAAAGGGTGCAAAGAGTAGGAACTAAGCTAATAAAGGGTTTCTCAACCCTCACATATGAGGAGAGGTTAAGTCGACTGAGTTTATTTCCACTGTCATACAGACGACTTAGGGGTGACCCAGTACTAGCATACCGTATCCTAAGAAATGATTTTGGAGCAAATTTATCTAATTTATTTCTTCCTTCTAGCACCAACCAATTGCGAGGACATCACCTCAAGGTTCAAAAACCACGGTCGAATCGTCTGCGTCTGGAGATCCGTTTTTCGCATCGAATTGTGAACCATTGGAACTCCCTACCGGAACACGTCGTATCAGCGCCATCCGTTGATTCATTCAAGGCAAGATTGGACCTCCTGTTTGTAACAAATCGGAAGGATTAACACAGGCATATAGCCTACTATCCTAAATAAATTGTAAACTGTAAACTGCACTTCTTTACTTTACAAATTTTTTCACGAAACTTAATTTCCTAGTCGTTTGTAACAAATACTTATATACATGTGTGCATGCACAAAAGTGATACTGCTAAGAATGTCCTCAGGTACCGATGTATCTGGTGACCTAATGGGAAGCACTTATCGGGAAAGCTATTAATGTACAGCATACCGTATGATTGGGACGGGCTCAAAGCAATACAATGCTACAACTACAGCTATCACCAGGAGAATCTAAGGGCTTAACATCGAGAAGGAGGGAGGGTGGTGCATGCTGATCAGCAGATGTGATAGTGGTCACAAGCGCGAATCGCTCCGATCTGCGGGACAACAACATGCATCTTTTGACAGCTCGATAATTAAACATTAATCTGGGCTCTAAACAAAAATTAATAAGGGTTGTAGAGATCTAAATTATAAAAGAAGTGCTTTTGCTCCTACCATCTACAAGTCTGTTCATCTTCTTGTCAAGATGCTACCCATTGGGCCTTACAGAAATTTGTGAGACATCTTACAGGCCAGCTTGTCCGACGGTTTCTAATCTTCCAGATCTTTGAAACTTCTCACTTAATCATCACACATAACTTGCAATAACGTTTATGCAGGTAGTATTATACTGTGTTATATCTAAACTGTGTAGGCACTTTAAAACAATAATACTTCCCGTTTTCATTTGTATTCTTCGCTCACCTAAGCTCTGGTGGGAATCATGGAATGTAACACAAAAGCACCAATGTTTGCGGAGAGGTTTATTTTCATCGAATGTATCACGCAATACATGGCGAGCAAAATATGGTGAGAATTCAACATTGAAATGAATATAATCAATCAAAGAACACGACAGGAAATTATTAATCCCTTGAAATCGGAGTGAAAATTAGTGCTGAAAAGGACAGCTGCACTTCGTTCTACCTTCTGCTGTCCTCTTTACCTATGTCTACGATTCCATATAGTCTCTCATTTCCTCCTCGCACGATCTGCTTCATGTCATCCTAAGACGACCCACTCGTCGCTACCCATTGGGATTCTACCTGATGGCCTGGTGCATGATGTCATTCGACAGTCTACTCAGCATATTCCCGATTCATCTCCACTTTCGTCTGAATATTTGTTGATTGATCCGCTCTGGGTCGGTCTTGTGCCATAGCTATACTGTGTTGTAGAAGCAGTTAAATTGCATATCACACATTGGCTTTGTATGTAGGAAGGGAAGGCAGTGCGATCGCCTGTTTCGAAACACTTGATTGACTTTAGGCAATCAACTAATCCGGCAGTGGTTTTAAGGTTGCTCAACCAAATGGTGCAGATCTGTATGACATCCTAGTTCTACAACTATTCAAGACAACAGACACACAAACATTATTCGTGAAGCCAGACGTTTTGAGCAACGGAATTTCGCACAATGCTCAAGGCACTGATTTTGTTGTTAATATGTTACTCCATATCAGCCATACCAAATTAAATGTGCCTAATTACCTGTTTTGTTTCAGTACACTGCCTAACCTGTAATTACTGATACTAAAACACAAGACATAAAGACTCAATGAGCAGTATATGTGAATGCCACTAGGTGTTAGAAATATTTGCGTCAAAGATTTTGGGACTTATTCGGCTGGTTTGACTGAACTACAGGCTCTTGGAATGTGGGCGTTCTCAAGAAAACAGATGAGTGGGAAGTGGAGAACGAGGCTATTCAAATGTGTGCATGTTCAGAGAAAATATATGACACTTCATCAAGAACTCGTGGGCAGACTAGTAGTCGGTTTAGTTGAGACTAGGTTAATTCAGTTTCAGCGATTTATTCTTGTCTTAGTTTCATTCTATTGGCATAGAAAGGATACTACAAATTCATGAGTTTCGATTGGTTGTCGAATAAAACCAAAGGGTGAGATGAGGCAACGCTGGCACTAGTTTATTCATTTTGTCAAATTTACTCAAGTCAAAATTAGCATTATTACAATTAGTGAGAGTCGTATTAGTAGTAATGTTGTTAGTTATTACCAGTGCTAATGCTATTCTGGTTCATGATTTACCTTCACTTTGTGCAGTTTCGGCTGCTGTTTATTCACATCCATCGAATATTGACGGAACTGAAAGTGCATGCAACAAACTGACATGCAAGCGACCACGAAAAATCCACTGATATTTACTGATGAGACTTCTCCTAAATGCCAACCTAAATATCGAATGAATATAAGAGCGTACATAGTTCAATACTCCGAAGGAACAGTGGACTTATTCTAGAGGTCATCTGACCTCGGAATTTGAAGTGAAACTGACGATTTATTCTACGTGTAAAACTTGAGCATTGTAGGAGTATGCAGTTTCGAAAAACTGAAGTCTTTGAGTTGTCTAGTTATAATTTACATGATTATGAACAATAAATTCTGTTCAAAACGTCATCCTGTCAGTTATAACGGAATGACACGATTTCTGCAGAGGCGCAACAAAGTGTCACAAGATACTGATGGTGTGCAGTGAAAACCCTAGAAGCGGTGATTGAGATAGGAAGAAAGTCAAAAAGATCAAATCGGAAATTCATCTTCAACTACTGTTTCCACAAAACAAGCCTAACTTTACGCTTATAAAACTAATCCACTTAGGCATGCTATACGCTTACAGAAACTAATTTCACTTATGCTCGTTCAATATTCGCCATCGTATTATTGGATATCGCTTTTCGTTTGTCATGTGCATATACATTTCAAGCAGTTATGTACATTTTATGTTCATCTAACACCTTTTGAAATTCGATTTCGTTGACAGTACATCTTTTGAAGCTTTCACTTTTGCTTCTTCACACAACGTTGTTTGTCTTCGACGGAGTACACAGTTAGCACATAATAGAACGTGAAAACGTGGAAGTACTATGGTATCATGATCGGAATCATAATAAGTGTACCATGCTGTTTCCCCTAAAACAAGATTCATTAATGACATACACAATTTGTGTGTTAGAAAGGTAGACGTGATGTCCATGCGGAGACCAATAATGACAGTGAGAAAAATCCTTTGAAAAGTAAGATATATTTTATTCGCTAGAAACTACATTGCAAGAAGTGAGTACATCAAATGAAAAGTAAGTGGTACATTATCATCCTTATTATGATTCCCATATTGATAGAGTTACAAAAGTTCAATACTACTCATAATAATGATCATCTTCATCATCGTCGTCATCATCATCTTCATCATGACCATCTTCATCCTCATCATCTTCATCATAATAATCGTCATCATCATCATTCTCATTTGGATGTGTGTCATCTTTGGCGTCTCCAAGTACTTTGTAATCAGGAATGAGGAACTTGCCTGGACACAAGATTTGAGACTCAATTTCCTGACTAAGTACGTCCTCATCTTCCACATATTCATCAGGATTAAAAAACTCTAGATTGCTAGCGTATTCTGATGGACAGCTGACAAGTGATGATGCTTCATTGAAACAGAATACTAATTCGTGTAAGTAAACAATCCCAACCTACAGAGTGCGAAATGGTGAATAAGAAAGAGAATTGTGTTAATTAGGTAGTTACAAAATCGATGATTCGTCACTTGAAATGCGTTTCCAATACAAACCTTCACTTATCTCTCAATTCCGAACAGAGAAGTTCAAGACAGTTAAGACCCGAATACTTTGAATGCTGTTAGAAGCTACTGACGTGAATTCTCGTTGTAGTTGGCGAAATCACGAGATTTGCATATTCGATCGATACACAACTATTCAACGACCTATACAGCATATGTAATTATGACTATATATAATACATCGGAAGTATATTGACATGATGAAATATTTGAAAATATGTGTGTAAAGAAAAGGCATAACCCACCTCACTCTTTGCACAGATCAGCTTGGGTTGTACACCGAATATTTTCAACAGTTTGCTTTCCATTTTTGCAGTCTACACGAACAAAGTGGATGAATGTAGTTTGTGAATTAGTGTGATTATTCAATGTTGATTACTCATAGTTAGAATGAATTTGTCTGATGGACAAGTTGAATGTCAACTTACATAGTGAACCTTCTTCTGTAATGTGCTATGGAGCTTATTAACTTTCCTAAAATGAAGGGAAATGTGTGTTATTGGTCGAATGTGAAAATCACATCAAGAAATATGTTGGTGCATCAGTATTGTCTCGACGTAGAATGATAACACAGAAACTCCTTGATACATTCCTCGAAACAGTAGTTCCGGCGATGAATCGAATCTGAATCAAGACACTGACTCATCTATCCTGACCCTGATACTATCATCCCGCTTATCACTTCGGGACCGGTATGTCCCATAAGTCACTGAGTTCATCCGCATAAACCAAATTGTCCATCTCAGTCCAGTCCAGTCCCTAGTTAGATCAGTCCACAACTGAGTGCAACACACAGTACACATGGTAATGAAGCTGAGTATGGACACTGTGATTTTTGACTGTGGAATCACTGTGAGGATACACACTTTACATGTTGGGGAAGATAAATGAATGTGAGCTGGCACAAATGCAGCCTGAAAATCAACACAATTAAATGATTTCTATAACTCGAACAGTAATAATAATAATAACCACATTTAGAAAGAAACATGTGCTGACGTACTTTGGTGTCATGAGTTTTTTGTAGAGATTAACGCTATGACTGAAGTAGAGAAATGGACTGGGTCCAGATTTACCCATAACTGTGCAAGCTCCATAATTGTAGTACACCCAGAAGCTGAAATATGAAATTTTTGTAAAGTAAATAATCAGAATGCACGAGAACAGCTTCAGCATTAGGAAATCATATCACTGGTAGATTGTCACCACCACCATCGTAACCAACAAAAGCGACAACAAACAAACAGGCAGACAAGCACGCACACAAACATGGTGTTCATCTACACTTTCGTCAATCATCCACATATCTTCACACCAACTGATTTCATTTCACCGGAATCGGGATTTCGATGTGTAGATGTGTCAAAAAGGCGATCACAAATCCCTTAGGTCAGTCCACATAAGCAAACAATTGTCAACACGCACACGTACTGCTTCGCTCTCATTAGTGATAAACCACGTAAATTCCATGATATACATAGTTGTGTGAAAGACAATAGCAAAAGTGAGGGGTGACTCACTTTGTGTAAGTATCATGAAATGGATCAGTCCAGTAAGTATTCAGATCAGGTATTTTCTTCTGAAGATGAAAAGGAAAGGACAGAGAAAATTAAGGTGGAATGGCTAAATAACGCTCAATGTGTGCTATGCCAGATGCTGTTTCCCAAATCCCGTCAGTGGTGCGAGTTATGCGAGTGAATGAAATGGTGAAATGTTGTTATGTGCAAAGAAGTAATATTTTGAAGACATCTGCGTAAAATGTCAGTTTTGTCACTCACAATATCCTGCTCCGAGAAGCTGTGATCATGTAAACATGCGCCATCCATCCAGTCAAAGTGAGGTGATGCTCTGAAATTGTGAAATAACTCAGTATTAGCCCTAAAGATGTAGCAAATAATATTGATACAGTGAAATCATCTTCGGGACAGAATCATCACTTCAGTCAAACATCAATAAGCGAGCATATGTGAAAGTGTACTTCGAACAAGTGTCTACCTAAATAACATGATATCATGCTATAACATCTTCAATCAGTTATACCAGGTTTGTCAGAGTTTACTCACAGAAAATTCTTCGACATCCGATCAATATATAAATTATCTAATGTATACGAAGTGTGCCCCATATTATATAGATAATTTTGAGAGGATTGATTGTGATGATATTTAGGCGAACTTTACAGACCACTGTGTAATCATTCAGAAGCATCATTGCAGTGCAGCCAGTCACATATCCGCTCAGATTTATCTGTCTTCTTCTAACGGAGTGATTCATCTTGCATAACTCTGACTGTCTGAATGATGACACCAACTGTGCACATCACCAAAGATCAATTGTGCATTATCATCATGAAACAGGTCGACTGGTGTCAACTCATTAATCATATTAGTGCTGATGCTTATCTTCTCAACTCTATCCATGTTAATACCCCTCAGTGAAGTACTGACATATTTAAGAGGATACATACAACTCATTCATTGCATATAAGGGAGCACCACACCTCGGTGATGTCGGAGAATGTGTCAATGTACAAAAGACAAATACACAGTAATCTCACTTCAATTTCGAAATATCCATAGTTATATTCTCCGAGATAGTACACTGAAAAGCAAATTGAGATTTTTATTGGTCGATTGAAATTAATTTTACTGATGAATACTGTCAACGTCAATCTGATATGTGTGTGTTTGTAATGATTGTCCAACGTGTGGCTATGTAATTCCATATTGATTTGTCATGAAACACCTCACTGACTGACGCTGATTGATGTTTCAGATATATGGTTATGGTTACAAAGAAGGAGTTGTGTATCAAGTAGCATTCAATGAGTATTACTCATTCACCAGATGAATATATTAGGCGTGATACATGTACATTGCAGGTTCCCTTCACATAAATTGATGCTTGAACTCAGATGTGTTTGATGGTGGCTGAAGGACTCCAACATCTTCTATTGATAAACAGACGCACTAACATTCATCGCTTGAGCCTGATAGCTCATTGACACAGCCGTGTGACCGCATATGTGTATGAATGCAAAGACTTATCAAGGTACTGAACAGGTTGGATTTTTATTCTCTGTGACGCCAACAAACACTGTGATGAAACATCCATGTGAGGGTGAATAGTCGATGAATCGAAATGATGAAATGATAATAATAATAACAATCAACATGGTCACCACAAAATTATGTGCATGAGTAAACGTACATATCTGTAGAGACAGTGTGTTGGAAGCCAACGCAAATGAAGCATGTATGTCTTGCTGGCATTGGATTCAGCGAGTAATGTGTGGATACACACGAGAACACTGAGAATGAAGAGTCTGTAAGGATAGGGAGAGAATGAGAGAGACATGCAAATTATGACTAGAGTGAGTGCTTTAATGCGGTTTCCGAGCATTTTATGCTTGACTTAATGCTCGGAATACAGACGAAACAATAACTCTGCATGTCCATGCCTCATTTATGAATACGAGAAATCCCATTGATCATGGTAACTCACTGCATGATGTAGACGTTCAAATCTGAGAGAAAAATAAACAGTCACCATTGGATATCGTAATGAGAATAAAATCATTGAGAAAACAAATTCCGTGCTGACTGTTGCGATTCCTTGATGAATTCATGTTGCATAGCTATTCATGTATGCATGTGAGTGGATTCATGTGCAAGTGGATGTATTGCAAAAATGTGGAATCTCCTTCACCTCAGCTACTAAAACAGACCGACTTGTACACAGTCAGTGTTTCAGTATGGCACATAATCGAGTATTTCACCAATTGTTCGAGTCTGTTGTGTGCGCTTTCAGTGGATGTTTTGAGTTGAGTGCATATCACACATCACGTCTGTGTTGAATTGACTGCACTAACATTCATTGATCTGTGAGCATAATGTTAGTGAACGTCATAGGGAATATCGCATTTCATCAGTGTGTATTCTAATTGTCAACACACTTGACAGTGAAACAACCACACATGCCTATCACCGACTATCTCTGACCATGTAGGTCAAATCAGTGAGTGAAAAATTTCCTTCCTCAAGTGAGAAGACATTATATGATTGAATATCAGTATCGTGTTGTTCACGTATAGAATAATGCATCATGATAACCGCAAAGAATATTGAAAATGTCGTGGACTTACCTATTCTCAGATGTGGTCTACCTGTCTGCTTAAAACGATGAGTTGTCTCTGTGAATAGCCAGTCTATTTATACCTTGTTCATTTGAAGTCTCTCAAATACAATTGGTGTTTTACAAATTAATTTGGCACACGGATTATGATAAGATGATAAGGAATGAGATGAAGTGGAATACAATATAATGGAATGTGAGGTGAAGTGAAGTGAAAGTATGTGGTCGATATGATTTTGTTTTTCATTCTGTTTCAGAATACTGGCTAAAAGATAATTAGTGTAAGAAGTGAGTTGTTTTTCATCGTTTGTTTCTGTGTGATTTATCTAACCAACAAATCAATAGATGTCGTCGATAGGCAGCGTGAGCGAAGACATCTTGAGAATGTGATGGACATTTTGCAAACTTCAGCCAAATAGGCTCCAGCCGTTAAAGAAATTCAGGAGGTGGAAATCTCCTGTCCACTGAAACTCTGCATCACATGTGACGTCATATTTACTTGACACTATAGTGAATCGTAATCTGTGTCCGCAGTATGTGTCTGAGGGTTGACAGGTTCAGATAATTGCATGAGAATCTATTGTGGTTGAAGTTTTCTATGACTGTTTTGTTTAAATGTTCAGCACCGTTTGTTTCCATTTACTGTATGTTCACAAAACAGATAACACCACCTACTTTGCTAGTTCTCTAGCTTTCCAATCAATCCTAAGCCAGTGAAAAGAAAGAAGATTGTGGTATTGGGGCGGCTAGTGAACGCACACCGAAGGATCAATCTAGCAGCTACCAAAACTTCAAAGCACAGGAAAAGTATAAGAAAGCAACAACTTATTCTTTCCTGGGATCAGAGAGGTGAAATGATGTGGTCTGGAGAAAGCCTTTGCGAAGGCAGTCAGCTGATGTATATTCTTTTGATGAAAGCAAAAGTAGCCATTGGAACTTTGAATGTTCGTACATTGTATGAGGCTGATAAGACTGGCCGGGTATCCAGAGAAATGAGGAGATAAAGCGCGGACGTGCTAGGATTTTGTGAGAGCAGGTGGAATGGATTTGAACTATGCGAATTGTCAACTGGAGAAACAATAATCTACTCCTGTCAGCCAGACGAAAACCATGAGCATACGGAAGCAGTGAGTGACTATTATGTTGTCACCAGTGGCAACCATGGTTCTAATGCTTTGAGAACCAATCTCATCTGTGATAATGGCAGGACAATTCAAGTGAAAATGAACGGAGGTTAGAGCCATCCAATGCAATGCACCTACAAAGAACGCAGAAGAAGACAGAAGGGAAGATTTGTGTAGACAACTACAAAGAATAATGGATAAGATACAAAATGTTGTCACTGAAATCCTTAAGGGCCTTATGAATGCCATCTGCACTGGGCGAAAGCAATAAAGGAAGTAAATTATTCATGGGTCGAGAGGCTGTCAGCGAAATGAATCAGAACGAAGAGCACTTGTCGCGATTCTATGCATTCAGTGATTTGGCGATAGGAGGCTGCATGTGCAAACACAAGGATATACCCAAGGCGATATGGACTTCACCTGACGGACACACCACAAACCAGATAGATTACATCTCAGTGTCATTCAGGGAGGTGGAGAAGCAGTCTGCTGAACACAAAGTGGAGACGGAGAGCAGACGCTGGCTCAAACCGTCATTTCGTCCAAGCAAACTTCAAGGTATAGCTGGAAACACTGAAAGGACCTGGAGATAGACCACCATTCAAGTTTAATACCCAAGAGCTGGGAGGTAAAACTAAAATATGCATCTTCACTGGAAATATCAGTGCAAAGTCAGAGATATTATATGGCATCAACGAGGGAAACTGAGTGAGGAGTACTCGAGTTCTCTGAAAGCGATATTCAAAGAAATGTGTACAACCATACTAGGAAGAAGGGAGAGGGAAGAAAAGCAATGACTCTCAACGGACACTCGGAGTCTAATAGATGAGATTGTGATGGTGAAACAGAAGATGAAACAGTGCAAACGTGGATATCTGAGGAAGGATGCGGGTAGTGTATGCATCTCACTGAATATAGACATGAAGAAGAGTGCTAGGAGAGACGAAAATTCTACAGTCGTTACAAAATACTTTGGAAACAAGGTATAACAAAAAAAGACAATTCTACAACACACTGTCTACCGAAGCATAAGATTAAGAGTGCAGGTGAACGAGACCTCAGATAACCACATCAGATAATCAGTTGCAAGTCCTGGAAGAGATCAGCGTATATGCAACTTATAAAAGATGATCATGGGAAGGTGACTGTCAAAGAGGAGGAACAAATAAAACAATGAACTGATCAATTCAAAGGATTCTGGAATCGACTATCACTTGAAAAGCGTCCAGAAATACCACCTACAGCTGGCACAGAACAACAACAAAGCACCAATCTAACTCAGAAAGCAGAAATCTTGCATGCAATGAAGCTACTGTAAGTCAAATCGGGAAGCAACAGGACCACATGAACGTTCTCCAGAAGCGTCGAAGACTGACTCATAGACTGCAGAAGATACGCTGACTTAACTGATAAGAACAGTTTGCAAGGAAGAAAAGGTACGGGAAGATTGTGAGGAAGACTAACTAGTCAAAAAAGCCAAAAAAGGTGACATTCGAAGCAACTTCTACACTATGCAGTGTAGTGCCACAAATCATAGAGTACTACCAATGCAGAAGATGAGAGAACTGGTAACATAGATGAATTAGGAAACAATCATCATATTTGTTCATTTTCAGCCACATCAAAATACTGCCAGTTCAGCTGACAACAAATCGTCCTGATGGGATAGTGATTGGCGTACGGTTAAACAGTTAGAGGAAAAGTTGTCCAACAGTGGTGTTTCATGTCCAGATTCGGGAAATAAACAATTCTACCTGTGTAGTCAGCCATTGGCTGGAAATAATGATGTCAATTTTGGCCACTTGCTATCAGTCTGCCTCCACGAACTCCTTCTAAATCTTCTCAGTATCACACGACACAATACCGCCTAACAACGAAGGATGAATCAGGCCTCTGCAAGAACTGGTGAGGATCCATGCTGTTTTCCAAATCAAGTAAAATACCAAACAATGTCATCTCGGAGAGAATGAAAAACGAACTGGATGCAGACATCCAACCACCAGAAGAAGCTGGATTCAGGAAAGACAAATCGTGTGTGGATAGGAGTGCCACACTGAGCATCATATCCCAACAAACCATAGAATATCAGTCAAATCCATGCACCAGTTTCATCGGCATCGCAAACGCCTTCAACAGCGTTGAGTGCAAAGCTATTTTGAAACTACTTCGACAACATGGACGGCAGTACCACAAATCCTTCTCAACCTCATTCAACATCTGAGTGACAATGCCATATGTCAAGTGATTAACGATGACAATCTCAGTCAGGTCATTACAGAGAAGATAGCAGCTAGACAAGGCCGATTACTATCACTGATGATATTCCTGATTACGGTGGACTGGATTATGCGGAACACCGTATGTGGAGGGCGAGAAGACAGGAATATGTTGGACGGATAAGAAGACTCCATAAGACCTGGACTTCTTGGACGATTGATGTCTAATGCAACATAAATTCAATGAAATCGACATACCGCCAAAAGACGTGTTTAATATGGAAATTCAAGTGAACGAAAGGAGACAAAGGTCATTAATATAACCAACAAACAAACAACAACAAACTGGACCAATCACAATCAACAGGAGAAATTTAAGAGAGGTTGCTTCATCCACTTATCTGATCAGGCAGCATTGTTTCAACTACACATGACAGCACGGATGAAGATGTCGAAGTCAGAATCAGGAAGGCAAAGTGCACCATCATCACTCTGAAATCACTTCGAATATCTTCTGTCTTCAGTGTGAAGAAGAAGATTGGGATTTTCAACATCAATGTTAAGTCAGCGAGTTTTTCTATGTGGGTCAGAAACTTGGTGAGCGCGTCAAGGAAATCGTTTCGAATGGTCAGCTGCAGACGTTTGACACCGGCCACCTTCCCTGTCCCCTAACTCGGGATCAGACGACCAGCCAGGCAGAAAGAATAACAACAAGGGACCATTGGAGTAATCCAACTAGGGACCAACCTATTGCATCACAAATATTCCGAAGAAAATGTTGATGGATTTGAAACTCACTGATGGGACTGCTGGTTGACATCGCGCGTCGGGCTATCACTTGCATGAAACACTAATGCTAGTGAACCAGTGAAACGTCCCATAGCAACATGGTGGTGATCACCTGTGCAGGAGAAGAAGAAGCGTAGAAAATTATTTGGTCAGCTGAAAGCACCAGCAAATAGTAGAGAGAAGTATAGATGTGCTGATGAAGCCTCATGCCCCATTTGGTAGCTACTGATATCCTGACAATCAGCGTTGTGGTTCCATTTACTG